ATTTTGGCATCGCACTGGTTCTTATTTTATTACTAAATGGGAAGCATTAAAAGGGATGGTTCCTTTTTTGGCACTTTTATTTTTCTATTTGGCACATTTTAGCAATGTTTTATCCTCAATATGGCACCTCATAGCTAAAAATAGTTGGCAGCCCTGCGCATGACCGTGACGTAGACGTTGCTTCTCTCTCTTTCTATCAATAGCTTCGTTCCCCACGCTTTCCGGGCTGGTCCGGTAATTAGAGAGTACAAATAAGTTACTCTCTCACAAGTGTCAAAAATGTGCCAACACGTGCCAAAAGTGCCCAGAGCGTGAGGAACGCAAAAAACCACATTTCGTGCCCGGAATCAACAGCTCTAAACAATGATTTTACGTGTATTTATCTTATATGGCTAATAAAATTACCAAATAACTACATTTTCTGAAAATTCTGTGATATTTTGCACTTTTGTTTTTATAAAATTTGCTTTCGGATTTAAACAACAACAGCAGTTATTTCAAATTGCCCTTTTGCACATTTGTGCCCGGAAAAAAAGTCCGGGCTGTTTCGTGCACAAAGAAGAAGATATTTACGATCCAAAAGTGGAACGTATTCGCTCTCTATTACCCATTTTTCTAGCGTGAGGAACGCTTTCTGGGCTGCTTTGGGCACCCGTGGGTACCCGCGGGCTCGTGTGGAACAAACCTAATAGTACACTTGATATCTTTCTACGTACTTCTACGCTACGCTACGTACACGTTCGTGGGTAACCGCGCTCTGAGGCTATCGGTGAGAAAGTTCGAAAAAGCTTATGCACGCGTACATCAAGGTTTATATATAAGAGCTTGCGCAATGCGCAAGTCCGTTATTCTTCTCGTAAAGTTTGGGCGAAAGCAACAGGCAGTGTAAAAAACATAAAATTGAAGTGAAGAGAAGCGATTTAAAACGAATTGTAATCGATAGCTTATTCAAAAATACATTTAAAGTTAATTTTAACCAAGTTTTTACTCATAGCGTTACGTCGAAAAAGCCACAAACGGTGATTTTTCACAGCGACCAATTTTTGCGAAATTTCCAATTAAACTCACTATATCTCAGACGTTTGTGCATCGATTGATTTGAAGTTTGTACACAATAAAGTAGATTCTATCCTAAAGAGGATGCGTTTAACTACACTTCTTAGTACTTACTAAAAACAAAATGGCGGATATTTTAACTTTTTTATAAAAATTAAGGAGGTGGGTTTTGCAAATGCAAAAGTAGTGTTATGAAGTTTAAAATTTTTGTTTTGTTTTAACGGAGCATTATAGACAAATATATACGAAACTTTTGGGAAACCTTCATGTTTAGACACAAAGTAGTTCTAAAGTTATTACAATATTATGGTGACACCCACGAGCGGGCGCTCGTCTCTAGATATCAAATATTTTTACATAGCACTTGCACAAATAATTTTGGAAGTAATATTAAGTGAAATGTGGAAATTCATAAATTTATCAATGTTACAAGTCGCTAAAAATTACGTTGATTTTTCATATTTTCTTCTCAATAGCGTGGAAGGTTTTCTTCCAGGCTAAACTACATTTTGTTCATGGAAGAAAATATGTAGCACCCTTGAGAAACAAATTGTAAAAAATCAAAAGTAATTTGAAGCGACTTGAAGCTTGCATTTTATTAACTGAAATTGAATGAGCTACAACACTACATACTAAATTTTTCTGAAAACTGTTATTCAAAATTTTGATGAAAGTTTGTATAATTTTTTTAAGTTTTACAAAAAGTTTGAAAATTTTATGCATATGGTTTTTGTTAAAATATGAAAAGTATTTTCGTAAAAAACTAACGAACAATTTATTATTTAAAACATTGCGAATATTGTAAAACAATCACTGTACTAATAACTATTTTCACTATGTGTGTAGTTATATGGATACATACATATGTAGGTATGTAAGTGTGTCCATTAAATTTATAATAAAGAGCTTTAATAAGTTATATTACACTGATAAATTTATGAATTTCAACATTTCACTCAATATTACTTCCAAAATTACTTGTACAAGTGCTATGTAAAAATATTTGTCATCTAGAGGCGAGCACCCGCTCGTGGGTGTCACCATAACATTGTAATAACTTTAGAGCTACTTGTTGTCTAAACATGAAACTCTCCCAAAAATTTCCGTATATATTTTTCTATAATGCTGCATCAAACAAAACAAAAATTTTTAACACCATAACACAACTTTTGCATTAGTAAAAACCACCTCCTTAATTTTTATAAAAAATGAAAATAACCACCATTTTGTTTTTGGGAAGTATTAAGAAGTGTAGTTAAACGCATCCTCTTGAGAATAGAATCTGCTTTATTGTGTACAAATTTTAAGTCAATCGATACACAAACGTGTGAGATATAGTGAGTTTAAATTTCGCAAAAATTGGTCGCTCTGAAAAATCAGGTTTTGTGGCTTTTTCGACATGAAGGCGTGAAAGCAAAAAATCGCCCTGGCACCGTATGCGCAGAGAGAAGCAATTTTTATTTCGCGCATTGCGCTACCTTCTATGTATAGATCATGCGCGTACATAGGCTTTGGTCGCCGCTGGTGTACATATGTACATATGTACATTAGATGCCTTGTTTTGCTAAAGTGTTTGAGATCCTCCCTCCGGCAGCAGAATATGAGAATAGGATGCTAAAAACTTAACATAATGAAAAAAAATATTCACTATTGCAAAAACTGGATGAGCTACCTCGAAATCCGTGATTTTTAAGACTGTTTTCTGTAGGTATAGGTCCTTATATCAAAAAACATTCATCATTCATAACCAGAAGGTTACCCACGCGGCCTAAAGTGACTATATGGCACTATTTTTCACGAATTTTCAAATTTATTCGTTGGGATTTTCCAGATAGGGGTAATTTTTTCCAAAATCAAAATACTTAAAATTGTAGCTAATTAAATGTAGTTTTTAAGGAAGCGAACAGTAATTCAAATTTAAATGAAGAAATGTTAAAAACCACTTCCCAACTTGACAAATAACATCACAAAATTTAAAAGCCAATGCATGCGTGGATGAAACTTCGGTACTGTGGAATACTTTATCTATATTTACAACTGATAATTACATTACTATATTACACTAGCCAATACACGCTTGCTTTGCGGCGCCTTAAAACACCTTTCGAACTGTAAAACAATCACTCAATCGGTTAAGAAGCACGGCATCAAATGGTTCCTAATTAAAAAGAATTATACTAAGTAAATGAACTTTTTCCGAAAAGCTCAGTCCCTAGTACAGCGATCTATGTACATATATTCCAATCCGTTCAGCCATTTTGCGTGATTGAGTAACAAACATATAAACTTTCACATTTATAATATTAGTAATAGGTATAGATGGAATAGATGCCACGTCCATTTTTCCAATAACCTTCAGTTTTCTACATGAGTATGGAACTAATTTAATATACTACATCCGTACTAAATTTCAGTACTCCAACGAAAATACTTTCAGAGATATGCGGTGTCAAAAATGCAGCATGTATAGGTGGTGCCACGCCCACTTTTCCAATAAGATATTTTCCTGTGGTAAAATGGAGCCTATATTTTAAGTTAGAGCTCTAGAAATACATCGGGGGAAACTGCATTTAATTCCATGCATAGGTTTTATGGAGAAAGGGGCAAAAATTAGTAGTTACTTCCTAACTGGTAAGTTTCATTAATTTAATAGAGAAAAGTGTAATTAATTTTAAAATTTTTTCGCGTTTTGGCGTCGCCACTAAGTTAAAGGCAGTAGTGGAACATGACGTCACCAATTTCTACTCCTAGTACGTTAAAATTAAGAAGACTGATTTGACAAACGAACGGAGCATAGAGAATCTAAATTTAAATCAACATTTCCCCTACCCTTCGACATTGCTGCTAGAGCTTAGCATCTTCGGAAATTATTTATTTCTTTCAAATAGCAACTGCGCACATGAAAGTATTTTTCTACCTAGCATATAAAAACGATATTGTAAAAACTTCAAAAATTTTTTAAAGTATGTCAGACCTGATTGTACTCAACATGGCTTTACTTAAACCTAATTTACCAGTTCAAATATAAATCAATTCGAAATCTGTTAGCTGTTTTAAGAACCTCATCAAATTAGCTACAATCTTAAGTATTTGCATTTTAGAAAAATTACTGCTATCTGGAAAATCCTTACAAATATAGTTGAAAATTCGTGAAAAATAATACCGCATAGTCACTTTAGGCGCGTGGGTAACTTTCTGGTTAGTTGTACTAAAAAACAGAGTACGCCATTCGCTTTAGCGGCTAATTCTTGATGAGGATGGATATCTTTTTTTCGTTTTTGTGCAAGATTAATGTTTTTTGATATGAGGACCTAAGCCTACAGCAAAACAGTCTTATAAATCACGGATTTCGGAGTAGCTCATCCAGTTTTTGCAATAGTGAATACTTTTTTCATTTTGTTAAGTTCTTAGCATCCTATTTTCATATTTTTCCGCCGGAGGGAAGATCTGAAATATTTTAGCAAGATGGATGGAGAAAATAAGGCATCTAATGTACATATTTAGATTTAATCTAACCATGGTAGAATCCTTATAGATAGTTTTGAAATCACATTCGAATATACACAGCTCTGGAATACTTGATTCGTAACTTCAACTTTTATTTTTGCCTGAAAAAATAAAAGACAACAATTACTGATTAACTTCTGCTCAAAAAAATAAAAGGCAAATTTTATCTTTTATTTTTGCCTTATAAAAAAAAAGCAGAAGTAATCGGTATTATTTGCTCAAAATAATAAAAGGCAAAAAGTAACTAAAATTGTTTGCTTTTTATTATAAGATTCACAACCGGTACGGTCTCTGCTCTAAATGCATGCGCAAGGTATCGTAATTGAAAAAGCATTTTCGCACGTTCGATAGTTTGACATGGGAGCGACGATTACGTACTTATGTTAATATTTTTGAAAATCTATTAATGATTTTGAACTATTTTATATTTAAATCAGCGCAAGAAACCATTACAATTGGGGACAAAGTTTGGACTGCCACATCGCAGGATCGGTTGCGTCTACAATTATTAATCAACTATGATAAGACCTCGCATCCAACCTACAATAATGTTCCAACTAACATCACTTTGGGCATGAAGGTGAACTACATCGATATTCATGAGATAAATGGAAAAATGGTTTTGCACGCATGGCTAAAGATAGTAAGTAAATTACATAAAATTTGTCATTTCTATGTGCGAAGGATTTATAAATTTCTATGTATTTATCTGGTCGAAACTTTTTGTGGTACCATTTGATACTTCTGCGTGAACAACTCAGTTGACACGACATTTTTCGTAAACAGTATGTAAATACGTATGTACATATGTATACACTTTAGAGCGGTTGAAACAATTTTTTTTTAAAAATTCATAAACGCTACCTCAAATTATTGTTATTTGTGATAAAAAAAAGAAACGTGTTTTTTTATTTTGAAAAAAAAAGTTTTCTTAGAGGTCGCGCTGGTCGGTTTTTTATAAAAACGCTGATGTTCTCAATTTTTTTACTTCCTTGACATGTTAAAATGCAGCTAAAAATTTGTTTTTTACATATAACTACTCTGGTATTATTGGTGAACATTCCCTTAATTACATACCTGTCTTGGGCAGTTAGAATGGGCCTAGGCCCGAAAATATGCTCTCGAAAAGAGACTAGTAAAATTAAAACGTTGATACTGAACGATTTACGCATTGTCATGGGTTGGAACTTGTTACCAGGAAGTTTCTGGGGTTGCTAATTAGGGATCTGAAGTAAGTTTTTCGAAATTCAAAATGGCGGATCCAATACGGCGATCAAATTAAAAAAAAGTACTAAAATTAAAACGTTGATACTGAACGTTTTAAACATTGTCAAGGGTTAAAACACGTTTCCAGTGGGTTTCTGGGATTGCTGATTACGAATCTGATGTCAGATTTTCAAAATTCAAAATGGCGGTTAAGGGTTTCAAACAAATCCAATCATTTTTTTAAAGTTGGTCGCCATTTTGGATCCACCAGATTCGTAATCGGAGACCCCAAAAACTCTCGAGTGCCGGGTTTCGAAAAAATCCAATCATTTAAAATAAAATGGACCGCCATTTTGGATCCGCCATTTTGAATTTCGAATAACTGACTTCAGATTCCTATTTAGCAACCCCAGAAACCCCCTGGTAACAATCGGTTCAGTATCAACGTTTTAATTTTACTAGTGTCTTTTCAAGAGCATATTTTCGGGAACTAGACCCATTCTAATTGTCCAAGACAGGTGTGTAATTAAGGGAAAGTTCCCCAATAATACCAGAGTAATTATACGTAAAAACCACATTTTTAGCTGCATTTTAACATGTCAAGAAAATAAAAAAATTGAGAACATCAGCGTTTTTATAAAAAACCGACCAGCGCGACCTCTAAGAAAACTTTTTTCAAAATAAAAAAATACGTGTCTCTATTTTTATCACAAATAACAATATTCTGATGTAGCGTTTATGAATTTCCAAAAAGAGTGTTTTTATGAACCACTTTAATACACATAATAAACATATGCGCAAATCCATTTGAACAACCTAACAAGAAATTCGTTCCATTGTGCATACTTACAAGTGAAAAAAGAATCAGATGTTTTCCAGATATGCCTCACAGCTGAGATCACCTGATTTATTTGATACAGGGTAACCCTCAATATCTATAAAAAAACTTTAAACGAACTCTGACAAATCTCTGACAAAAGTTATATTAAGTGTAGAAGTCATTGGCCGAAATGCTTTAAAATATTAAAATGTCATATAAACATCGGCATTCATTTAATTCACTGCGTATTTTGACAATTTTTAAGTTTATTTCAATAAATTATGTCCTTTTTAAAAGCTTTTAATTAACTTGCCTTTTAATCAATTTTTGGACAACTTCCCGTTGACTTAGAGACTTGAAGCTTCACAGATGGCTCAGAACCCGATGACAATGCAACATGAAGGATGAGCTTATCCGATAGGTGGCGCAGGAGTCGAGATATTTGCAAAACCTTTATTTATAGTCCGATTTAGTGCATATTTAGAAAGTATATTAACATCATGAAAAGGAATCTCCTCTAAAAATTTTTCCGATAGGTGGCGCACAGTGTACTTTTTGACCACTCTTAGCGAATAAATCGTAGCACTTCCGGTAGAAGCAACATTTTGATATGAATCAAATTGGTTTGGAAAGTTTATGAAATTCTCTTTCAAGGAAAAATATTGCCATAGTCCCACAATTAATTTTTGATCTTGAAAAAATTGGTCAAAAATAGTGTTCTTCAAAAAAAACATGCAAAACCCACCGGATTTCTTAAAAACAAATAAAAATCGTATGTTCTGTTATGCTTATATTATAGATTTTGAGACGAGTAATATGATCCCGTTATCTTAGAAACCAAAAAAATAAAAATTTTAGTCATAAATTTAAGAAAAAGATGGTGCCCTGGTATGTTTTTTTTACAATTTTTTATGATTTTCTTGTAACTATGCATATTTTTCACGTAATTAAATGCCTCAGAGAGCAAGTAGTTTGTAGTGATAAACAAGACCTTTAATTTGAGATATAGAACAAATCTCCAGACCCTCCGAGAGCCAAATTATAACTATTTTCATGTCAAACCTCGAGATTTTTAGTTTGTCAATGTTATTGTGGCTTGTTCACATTTTATTTTTAATATTTTATTGAGCTTTGTACCACGATTGTTTATTAGGAAAAATTGAAAAATTGAGATTTTTACTCTGAAAATTAAAAAAAATTACTATCTACCACATTTGTTGTCCCATTAATTATGCATACTAGGGCTGGGAGTTCTACCTGGATGTTTTGACTATCCGGATAATCCGGATTTCGAATACCTGAATAAAAAATCCGAATATCCGCATATCCGAATAGTGTATAGATATCCGGATAACCGAGTAGTGTATTTATATATTTATATTCAAATATTTCAATAGTCTATAGATATCCGGATAAGCGAATAGTGGGTTGATATTCGAATATGGCAATACATAGTGTATTGATATCGGGATGTTAAGAATACTCGCATAACAATATTCGTTATAATAGTTACATATGCGGATAACAAAATTAACGTATATTAACCGGATATTCGTACTATTCGGATTTTAACCATATACACGAATATTCGAACGGATATCCGGATATTCGAATACACTGATGGCCCCAGTCACATTATAACGACTTTAAAGCCACACTTCGAAAGTGAGGTAACGAGATTTTTACTCTGAAAATTAAAAAAAATTAAACCACCATATTTTTCCATTGGTCACAAAAACAGCAACAGTGTAGCATAGGAAATAAAATTATAATACTTATTAAACGTTTTATCTGTAAAAGTGGATTAACATTTTTAAACTATTTGAAAAACATCTTACCAGCTAAGGTAAGTTCATTGCAATTTTTGATAGATATGATATGATATTATACTAAATATTACACGTGTAAAAAAAGCGTTAATACTGGTAGAAAAATGGTGAAACTCGAAAATGCTAATGTAAGAACATTAAAAAAATGAGCTAAAAAATTAAGGCATCAACTAAATGATATAGAAGATGTAAAAAATGTGATGAAAGTCGATACCGATGACCAAAAAACTGCAGAAAATACTAATGTTATTCGGCATGCAAAGGACTCAGCCTTAGCATTTTACTCAGAATATGATTATTCTGTTGAAGAATATAAAGCTTTAGTTAGTGATACCATTTTTAGAAATTGTCCGATAAACACCAGTTATGGTATCATCAAAAAGGCAATGGTAGAATGTCAGCCTAAAAATTTTAAAGTACGTGAAATAGAAGTTTTCGTGCCTCTTCAAAACTTTTTAAATAAATCGGTTGAAAGACTATGTGAAAGCGTTGCTTTGGACTGGAGCGAAGAAGCCTTATATAAATTGGAATTAACTTGCACTTTATGATTTGATAGTTCTTCCAGTTACGTTAATCCTCACCACGCTTTTATTAGTAGCCTCATATTAATACAATTAAGGCACATTAATTCAGAGCAATTTTCTTGGTTGAATTCGACTCCGCAAAGTATTAGATTTTGTCGGCCCTTGCGTGTAGCCATTGAGAAAAAGGATGAGGCTGCAACTTTAAGGGAACATGTTCGACTAAAAAAAGAAATCGAAGAGCTTCTTTCATATCGCTTTAAAATGTCAAATGGAAAATCTGTTAAAGTACAATATGATGTCCGTGAAACCCTACTTGATTGGAAATGCCTTAATACAATACTTGGTAATAAAGCCTCAAGAAGATGCCCAATGTGTTTGCGCACTGCACATCAGTTTTCGAATCACCTCACAGACAAGCTTACTCCTCAAGAATCAAATCTTAAGCATGGACTAGGGCTGCTACATTGTGAAATAAAAGTATTCGATCATTTCCTAGGCCTTGGATATCGTCAGGAAATTCAGTCATGGGATGTGCGACAAAGTCTGAAAGGTAAGATTGCAACAACTTATTGAATTTTTACGAAGACAGCTATTGATTTTTCATTGAATAATTAAGCCAAATGAATTTTTTTTACAGCCGGTTTTCAGGATCGACAAAAAATTATTCAGAAGAGGATATATGATGAACTAAATGTTCGGGTTGACCAAATCCTACAAGGCCATGGTACAACAAATACGGGAAATGTGGCAAGGAGATGTTTGCAATCCCCCGAATTATTTGCCGAAGCGTTAGAAATCAACCCTCAATTAGTTATTAATATGAGCAGAATAGTATCAGACTCTAAATCTAAAAAAAAATCAATTTAGATAGGCTTGAGAAATTTAGTTGGAAAACATACTGCATGTACTACAAGTTCTACCCATGTGCCCGAATGGCTCCCACATTACACAAGCTTTTAAAACATGGATGCGAAATTGCTCGGCAGCTTCCTCTTCCTGTGGCATTCTATGCCGAAGACGCCAACGAAGCCTGGCATAAATACTATAGAAAAAATATGGTGGATCACGCTCGACAAAACAGCAGAGAAAACCGTTTACTGGATGTATTCAATCGGGCCGTGCACATGAGCGACCCGAAAATATCTATGGTTTTCATTGACCGTAGAGTGGGAAGGGATAACAGAATGAAATCAGAATTTCAGAATATAAGTTAACACCTGCTAACGCGCTCATGGGAAACATTCCGTTCTCATGTAAAATGCTGACGCTATGTCTGCAAATATGCGCGTGACAAAAATGAAAACAACGGCAGTAACGGAGTAGCGATCCACCTGCAACTGCAGTCGCTGCAACCACAACAACAACGAAAGCACTAGCAATAGCGAATTGGCGATCCACCTAAAACTACAGTCGCTGGAACAACAACAACACCAAAGATATCAACTACTACAGTCTCTGCTACAGTTGGGATTAAGTAGGGTAGAGTAAGCTTTGTCTTAATTCTAATATTCAGTCTTTTGCCAGGCTCTTAGCTCGTTACTACCGC